CTTACTGGCCTACACTACCAACCAAAAGTTTGGAATCACCTACCAATTTATATCAACATTGCATATACTAAATACTAATTCTTCATAGACGTGAAATTGATGTCGAGGATATCAATTGTAAGAATAAAGAATTACAAGGGGCTTAAAGCGACAGATATTAAAATGACGTTGGTTCGCTCGTCGATAGCTAGGTATATACGATAATGTGTGGACCGCTGCCCTTTTTCCCGTTTTTATACGCTTCTTCGGCCGTTAGGGCCCTGCAAGCCGTGGGGTGGGGGTGCAGCCTGCGCTACTCCTTGTCTAGGGCCCCCTGCGGCTCGGGTCCCGCGGTCGTTGTCTAGGCGCGTCGCTCAGCGTCTTACATAACTATTGGATTTAGGCAATAAATTATTAATATTCTTTATTTGTATACGCGAGGAAGGCACGTCGCTACGCCATGATAAGAGCTCGACAAGACGCTAAAGAAAGAAGAAAGCATATCAGCGTCCCAGCCATACTAAACAGATGGTTATTATGTCATTCTTCTATAGGTATATTGCGTCGTAAACAAACGCAGATTTTCTCAGGACTCGCGGTCAATAGACCGCTTTCAGGGTGGCCTCGCAAGAAGGCCCACACCCCAGGACACTGCAAAACTTGGCCCGAGCAGTACTCGAAACCGTCAACTTCACCACTTAATTTATTAGCTAGACTCCAGAGCCAGACTGCGCATCTTACCCTGGCGCCTTCGTTGTTCAATAGCATAAACACTGCTGTTTGCCTAAGACACCATAGAAATTAGAAACGGAAAAACATTCTCAGAATTTTCCGCCTTCCACTGCCTTTACCCTTTCCTGAAAGAAAAAACACTCCCACATCGTCTAATCCAAAATTAGTTACAACCACCCTTCTCCGAATATCCAACCGATCAGGTTTTAGATTAGTTTTCCTCGATAACACACCATCAGCGACGAGTAGACACAATTCGGCCTTTTTAAGGCACACACAACACATAGCAAATCGCTCTCGACCAACTGCAGTCCTACGATACATTTTTAGAGTACACTCATTAGAGTAAACATAGTTATACTTATATATATATGTATATTAAATACAGTTAGTATAAAATCCAGGGTGTATTTTACAATCCATCAGTTCATAAATACAGTCCATTTCTACTTGAAAAGACTTCAATTTATCTCGCGATAAGTTTCGAAGTCGCGAAAACACTAACTATGACACACAACAATATGTTTATATTAACCCCTTAACGTATGATTACTTTTCTGACTATGCATCTAAGCGTCAGCCATTTTCTGTTTCAGTACTGTATCAGGTAACAAAAACTAATCTGATTAAGTACATTTAACAATTCTCAGTCTTATAAATTCAAACGAAAATTAGGATTACAATGAATTTTTCTTACTAATATAACTATTTTCCTCACATCTTCGCCAGAATCTCTGCCACGAGTCTGACGCGTTGTCATACGTTAAGGGGTTAACCTGTCTCGGTATGTTGATCATTTTTGCTGTTACCATTACACACGCGCGCACATCTCTCGTAATAATCCAACAGTAACTTTCGATGCACGGTGATTTCAAACTTTTGACCGATAGTGTACACCTCAAGCTAAAACAATTCGAAGCATTTCCTCTTCATAGAGAAATGAGTGTAATCGGTTTGGAATTCAGTGGCGCTTGAAAACGAACGTCGCGTTGCCTGCGTGAAAACGCCCAGAACCCTCTTTGACACGTCTCGAATCACGTTAGTCACGGCCAATGTAAATAAGCACAAGGGCGACGGCCGGGGTCGGAGAAAAATCGGAAACCTCTAGAGTTGCGAAGCAAGTGGTTGCTCGAGCAAAAAGATCGAATAAAATTAGACTTGTTTACGCAATACGTCTGCTGTGAGTTTAATCAGCGAGTGCTTTTCTGATTCTTTCAGGTTGAAAATATTTATAACTGTTACACATAAATATGCATTGTCTGGTAAAATCATAGACTAATAGACCACTCCTCTCCGGCCGTATAACGAGTCAGACTCGTGTCACAAATTTTGGTCAAGATCTGATAAAAACAGTTATATCGGTAACAAAAATTAATTTTAATTCTAATTTTCGATTTAATTTATAAAACTGAAAATTGCCAAATTTAATAGTTTTTCTTGCTTAAAATAGTACTAAAACAGTAAATAGCTGACGCTTAAGTGCATACACATAGTCAGGAAAAGAAATCATACGCAAGGGGTTAATCCTTGCACCGAAAACTATTATAATTCCTCTTCTGCCATAAACCCAGGCCAACAACCCGGTCACTTTCACTACCCTTCTCTACTTTCCGGATTTTCCCCATACCCCACCAGTTTTCAAGCCTCTTCCACCCTTACTTCCTCCTTCCACCAGCTTTTCTAGTATCCAATGTAACATATGCATATTTTTTATTCCTTCTTTCCACCTCTTTCAACACCAAACCAATCACAAAACACACCGACTTCATATATTCCGACACATAAACATTCCGAGACATTAGAACGTTAAACGTTTAAACAAAAAAAAAGTGTTTGTTAGCTGACATTTACGGAAGTCAGTATTGGGGAAAAAAAAATCGCCGTTTCAAAGGCATATAGGGAATCGCTGCCTGTGTCAATTCAGAAGTTAAAAGATTTACACAAAATATGTAAAAATGAAATTATTCCAGAGGAACATCGTTCATTTTATAAAGGATCGAAAAGCAATGAACATGTACGACGACGTTAACGAAGACTGACAATTATGATAATTAATTTCTCACCTTTTTAAAACTAAACTACTCGTTCTTTTAAATACAAAATTTTGGTTGTAATAATGTATTTGTCGGTATCAGTTTCCCCTAGTATACAAATAAATGTCAAAACTAAAAGTCAAATTTGTCATTTCCTTCTATCGTCATTATACTAGGAACAATAAATTTAATTTATAACTGAAAATGAGAGCAAGAAAATCAAAATTCATTTCACAGTTACGCTTAAATATGACATAAAAACTGATATCTGAAAGAAAATTTCAAAAACATCGACGTCCAGAGCTATTTCGTTACTTTTCATATTCAGTCGTGAATCCCCACAATTGGCTGAAACGCACATTCATGCCTATGGCATAAAGGGAACGATATAATAGTCTACAGAGTAGCTCACAGAGATTACTTTTCCTCGTCTTCGCATAACAACGATTACAATGCCCTTCCAGCATTAATTTGTCGTGAGTGCAACGGTACTCTTCACGTTCGTGATTAATAATAATCGTCGCGCGAGTCGACGAGCATCGCACATGCATTAACAGGTATTGGAAAAGTTGTAGAAATTGAATGTTATTGGTTTTAGGAAGCTTGTTCATTTTTACGTTATGTATTACATTCACAGAATGCTTTATGTTTGTTATTGGAATTTTAACGCTTATTATTGGAGCATTGTGTTGGGTCTATAGAAAATGTTTGACAGTCAACTTATTCGATGTTCCTTTTTAATGTAATGTCTAAGGCGATGTCCATGTTACTGGCAATCCT